GCAGAGTGACATTCCTCTAGGGACTCAGCTGCTTTGATGTTGATACTTCGCTAAGGGCAAAAGACAATCTTAGCCCGACCCCCAGGGCCCTGTAAGCCTACTCTAACATATAAAAATTCCTTTGGAAACTTCCTTTATCTCTTAGCCCTCCCCCCACCCTCCAAGATACATGTTGGCAATCATTCCCCAAGCATATGACCCACCGATATATATCTGAAGGGTCTCATGACTGAGGGTTTACTCAACAGTAATAAATGACCTTCCCCAACAATAGGTAGCCCCCTCAAGGTCCTGGAAACCTTGCTTCCAAAATTTGTTAGAGACTTACACTACCCCAACCCCCTCCCAACTTGAAAGTATGTAATGGGCCACTCCTCACGACCCAGAGCAGCTCTTTCTTTCCATGGGTCTTGTCCCTGTGTTTTAATAAAACCACCTTTTTGCACCAAAGACGTCTCAAGAATTCCTTCTTGGCTGTTGGCAGGGGTGCCTGGGTGGCTCAGTCGGTGAAGCGTCTGCCTTCAGCTCAGGTCATGATCCCGGGGTCCTGGGATCGAGCCCCATGTCGGGCTCCCTGCTCGGTGGAGCGCCTGCTTCTCCCTCTCCCTTTGCCTGCCTCTCTGCCTACTTGTGCTCTCTATCTCTCTGTCAAATAAATAAATAAAATCTTAAAAAAAAAAAAAAAGAAATTCTTTCTTGGCTGTTGGCTTCAAACCCTAACATCTTTCCTACATCACAGACCAGGAGCTGGGTCTCAGTCCCAGTGTTTCTGCAGTCCCGGAGGGAACCCAAACTCTAGGTCTCCTGAGTGGAGAGAGCCTGCCGGAGGGGAGGGAGAGGCTTCAGGGTATCCAAGGTCACAAGTCAAAACAGCTGGGCCCTGCCTTGCCTGCGGCGACCTCGCTGCTGAGTGTCTTCGTTCTTAGAGGAAGGGCACAGAGCCACGAGGACCTCATCCCCAGACCGACTCCCAACACCAGCAGTCACCAGGCCCTCCTGTACTATTCAGGCCTGTCCCCTCTTGTCCCAGCTCCACACAAGGGGTGTTCCACGGGGAAACTGAGTCAGGATATCCCAGTCCGGGAGGAGGACCACGCAGGTGGGGTGGGGCAGGGGGGGCTCTGAGCTGTGGGCAGCCGAGTCCGTGTCCTTGTCGGCAGCAGCATCCTATCGCAGCAAGGAGGCCTGGCGGGGGAGGCTGAGACGAGAACCTTCGCACTTGTGGGCTCAGCCACGTCCCCCGCCTCTGCCTGTCACTCAGGACCCACGGAGCACTATCCAATCAAGTCCGCCAGAGGCAGGGAGCCAGGAGCTCGGACCAAACCCAGCATGGCCCCATCGGGAGATGTGGGGCCGAGCTCCAAAGCTCTATCGGAAAACAGGTTCTAGCAGGGGAGCTCAGATTGATCAGGGTGCGGGGGTCCAGGACACCATCCAAGGGGGAGCGCTCCCAGCCTCCTCTGAGTGGCTTTGGGTGGGTCTCGCCTTCATATGCCCCTGCCCTTGGGGCCCTCACGGGGGATGAGATGGTGAGTGCGCGGGCAGGGGAGGCTGGGGGGGGGGGCTGGTTCCCACCCAAATGGGTGGGTTGTGGCCGCAGCCTGGGTCTCCTGATACCCTTAGGGGTCCCCACCCCAATCTCCACCCTTGGCTGTGGGCTGGGGTCCCCACTTTCCCCAGGGGTCCGCGCTCTAGTCCTTGGCCAGATGGCATCTGAGGGAGCAGAGGGCCACCAGCACTGCAGCCAGGGCTGGGGTGGGGGTGGGGGGCTTGGAAGGACCTGCTGTAACTGAGCCGGAGGTAACGGAGGGAGACTCAAAAGACAAGTTGACCCATGTAAAGCCATTTTGGTTTTAAGCTAACTCTTAACATAAAAGTCATCAGGTCATAAAAAGAGTCACAAGATCTGACTCAAGGAAAACCACAAGACCCCACTCCCTACAGCAGTGAAATCCACAAAGCCTGAACATGCTCAAAATTGCTCCCTGTGGGTATCTCCACAACCCTAAGACAAAGGAAAAACCTCAATGTGAATGAGGAACCCACAGTTAAAAAGGAAACCCCTCCCTGTAGGGTTAGCTAATTAAAAAAAACAAAAGGGGGGCACATGGGTGGCTTAGGTTGTGATCTCAGGGTCTTGGGATTGAGCCCCATGTGGGACTCCACACTCAGCAGGGAGTCTGCTTGAGAGTCTCTCTCCCTCTCCCTCTGCCCCTCCCCCAATAAATAAATAAATCTTAAAAAAACACTTATAAAGCCTTTGGTTAGATGCAAAGGGAGGTCCTCTTTCCCATCTGGAAGGAGAGACCACCTCCTTTCTTACTTCTATACTTAGTAAATCTTTGTTCCTTTCTCTAAATGGCTTGCCCTTGAATTTCTTTTTTTTTAAAGATTTTATTTATTTATTTATTTATTTATTTATTTAACAGCGAGATACACAACAAGAGAGGGAACACAAGCAGTGGGAGTGGGAGAGGGAGAAGCAGGCTTCCCACTGAGCAGGAAGCCCGATGCGGGGCTCCATCCCAGGACCCTGGGATCATGACCTGAGCCGAAGGCAGGCGCTTAACGACTGAGCCACCCAGGCGCCCCTGCCCTTGAATTTCTTGCACAAAGACAAGAACCCTCTTGGTGAGAGACCTGAGGCCCTCCCTCTCAGGGCCTTGCCCCTCTGGCATCGTAACTGAACCCACATCCTTTTCCCCTTTGGCAGCAAGGCCAATTACTGAGTCTTTGAGCATGCAGCTAGTACATGGGTTATTAGAGGTAGCCAAGCTACCAGAGCGGAAGCAGACTAAAGTCTGTCTCCTACAAGCGACAGTAGAATAAATATTTTGTCCATCAGAGGACCTTACCAGGGGAGCGATAAGACACCCACGAAATGGGAGAACATATTTGTTAATCACACATATGATAAGATTTTGTTAACCAGAATACAAACACAACCCTTACATCTGAATAGCAAAACCTGTAAAAGCCTGGCCAAAAGTGAGCAAAACCTTCACTAGACATTTCTTTTAAGATGACACACAAATGTCTAATAAACACATGAAAGGATCCTCACCATCAAGGGGAATGCAAGTCAAAACCACAATGAGATACCACTTCGCACTCCCTAGGATGGCTAGAATCCAGAATTCAGAAAACAAGGGTCAGGGAGGATGTGGGGATCTTGGACCCGTCGTGCATAGCTGGTGGGACTGTAAACTCAAGCAGCTGATGTGGGCAAAACTCTGGTGGTTCCTCAAAAAGTTAAAACAGAATTACAGTGGGACCCAAGTATCCCAGTCCTACCTAAATTGAAACAGACACATGTACATGAATGCGAGGTGCAAAACTATTCAAAAACCACAAAAGGAAACGTCCTATTGGGCACCAATGCATGAATGGATGAACAGAGTGCAGCATATACATGGGATGGAGGATTATTCAGCCACAAAAGGGAATGAAGCAGGGACACATGCTGCACTATGAATGCATCTTGAAAATATGCTACCTGAGGGCACCTGGGTGGCTCAGTCGTTAAGCGTCTGCCTTCGGCTCGGGTCATGGTCCCAGGGTCCTGGGATCGAGCCCTGCATCGGGCTTTCTGCTCTGTGGGAAGTCTGCTCCTCCCTCTCCTACTGCCCCTGCTTGTGTTCCTGCTCTCCCTATGTCTCTCTCTGTCAAATAAATAAACAAAATCTTAAAAAAAAAAATGCTACGTGAAAGACACCAGACACACAAGACCACAGAGCATGAGGGAACTTATATAAAATATGTACAATAGGCAAATCCATAGAGACATAAAGTATTTCATTGGTGGCCAGGAGGCATGTTTTCCTAGCTATTTGGCCATTAAATTCGCGTTGACAAACGTGGATATAATTCACATACCATAGCGCTCACACTTTTTAAAAAAGATTTTATTTGTTTGTTTGAGATTGGTAGTGAGAGAGAGCACATGAGCAGGAAGCAGAGGGAGAAGCAGGTTCCCTGCCAGCAAGGAGCCTGGTAGGGCTGGTCCCAGGACTCTGAGATCATGACCTGAGCCGAAGGCAGACGTCTAACCGAAGTCACCCCAGCACTCACACTTTTAAGGGTAAAACTCAGTGTTCTGTTTTTTTTTTTTTTTGTCTGTTCACCGCTCTGCCACATCCGGACATCATCTGAAGAAGGAAATCGAGCCCTTTACATTTCACATTCACAGGGACTGACTACAAACTTGATGTGCCGTGACTTTCCTTGCAGAATATAATGCACACCCGACTATTCTAACGTGTCCCACCTGTGGCCGTGCCCGGCTGGGGCCGCGGGGTCCCACGTCCCACGGGGGCGAAGGACCCGGGCACGTGCTGACCTGAGGCCAGAGAAGTGGAGCGGGGGACGGAGGGCGGGGCCTCGCGGTGTCAAAGGATCAGGTCAAAACCCAGGGAGACCTCGCCTTCCCTGCGATGACGTCACCGGTTTTTGAGATATGCTTAAACACGGAACAGGTGCACTGTCCCTCGCCCCCGTGGCGACCACGGACATAAGGATCACCGGGCCCCTCTGCTCTGTCACATCTCGATGGGGCGCCGCACAAGGGAGGCTCCACGGAGAAACTGAGTCAGATTCCCGAGACAGAAGGAGGACGTAGGCGGGTCAGCCAGCTAGGAGTCCATTCTCTTGGGAGCCGAACTCCCGGTAGGCAGATGAGACACGCGGGTAGCGCCGGCCTGTCAGTCAGGACACAGGAGGCGGGGCCTGGGAGATCTGCCCAATCTGGGACCACAGGGGCGGTGCCGGGATCACCGTCCAATCAGAACGTGAGGGGCCACAGGCTGTCCTATCACGGTGCGGGGAGCTCGGTGTCCCAGAGAAACGTCCAATCGGGGCCAAGAGGAGTTAACTCCGAAACCTCATCCAATCAGGTCTCAGAACCTGAAACATCGCCCAATCGGAGCGCGGAGCCTGTATACCATCCAATCAGGCCCGAGGGAGGGCCCTGGCGGCCTGGTAGGTGTGGCTCTCAGCCGGGGCCGGCCGCCGCGCTCCAGTCCCGAGCAGCCCAGGAGTGGCGGAGCTCGGCGGGGAGGACGCCCGCAGATCCGGGAGCGGGACCCCGAGATGGTGAGCGCGGGGCCGGAGGGGGGGATCGAACCCGCCAGGACTAAGTGGAAGCGGCCGCGGTAGGGGGCCTCCCCATCCCCATGGGTCCGCCCCTGAGTCCTTGGCGGGTGGAACTGGGGCGGGAGGCAGCGCCGAGGAGGGAGGGGGAGGCTGGGATTCGGGCGGGTGTGCATCCTAACGGGAGCTTGCTCCTTGGTGAGTTACAGGTAGAGACTACCCAGGTGAGTTGTCCCGCAAAGGAAACTTGACTTGCAGCAGATGAGGAGACCTCGGGGAATAACTTCCGACGCGCTACTCCCCTGCCGGGTGTGAGTGGGTTTCTTTCACTCAGGGTTAGGATGAATATTCAGAGGGGAGCTTGGTCATTGCCTGTGAAGGTGTTTTAGGATTTCTTTTCCTTTAGGACCTGTGGTTCTTGGTCATGCCATTTCGAAGAATGAAGAGGTAGATCAGAGGAAGAGTGGTGGGCAGCAAAGCAATATTTACTGAGCAATAGTCTATAGCTCCCAGAGAGGGTGGGGGATCTGAGAGGGTTGCCCTTGGAGTTTCTAAGTTTAGGGGTTTCTTTAGGAACTCTTTGGCAGAACTATCTTAAGCAACCAGGGTGTGCCCAATGGTGCCAATCCGGGCTTTGATCACACATCTGTCTACCTGTTAGGTTAATGTTTAGGTGCTGATGGTCTTTTTGGGCTGACACCTGTGGGCTTATGTCTTAACTGCCTCTTCGTCGTGCTAGTGACAAATGCTTTGTGGTTAACTGCTTCATTTTGGGGCATTTTGCTGAAGTCATTTCTGCAAAGGCTGCAACACTGAATGCTAATGCGGTCCTGTCTAAGCTGCAAAACAGGATGTTAGTGTGGTTTTGTCTTAGCTGTGCCCGCTCTCTGTCTTCCTGTTGGGGACCCTGGCTCTGACTACCTAACTGTCCAACTAACTCCTAACACTAACTCCTAACAAAGGCAGGCATAAGGCTGCCCAGAGGTAGTTAGAAAGCATTTCTAGAAAACCTGCCTCCAAGGTGAGGGTCATGAAGCCAGTGCTCCTCTGGGGGCCTGAGACTTCACATTTTAATCCCGCAGAGGTGACTGTTGGGAGTGGGGAAGAGGCGAAGGGCCTGCTCTGAGAGCCGGTATCCACTGCATGGGGTTTGGGGCTCTTACCTCGGGGAAGGAAAGCAGGACTTTGCTTACTTTTGAAGCAGCAGTGAGAGATGTATTGTCTCTGATACGGTTTGGCTCTTTCCAGGCCTGGTCGAGACTGTTAGTCTTTGCGTTCCCTTTGTTCTCTTAAAATTTTTAAGGACTGAGGTTTTTTTGTTCTTTGTTTGTTTGTTTTTCCATTTCTTTGTGATTCTGACAGTACTAGGAAGTTGTGCAGGTGTGTCCTAGGGCAGTTAGAGCCGGTAAGGCATAGAGGGAGGAAGATAGCTGGGGGCCTAAAATGATCTCTTTCCGGGCACCCCCTAACCCTCTGAGCTTGCAGGGGGACCCACGGTGGACCCGTAACCCGTCCAACCTGAGTTCACCCCTTTGTGAATCAGAAACTACACCAGGTTGAGTTGTCCCACCTGGAAAACTATTGGCAGAGATAAGGAGATCTCCAGGAATGGCTTCCAGAGCCTTGACTCCTGGAGGCAGGGTGGATGGGCACCTTTTGTTTATTGTCCTCTGTAGCGGTGGGCCTGAGGTGCTGTATGGGTGCAGCCGGCTGCTGATCCGCACTGGCTCACACTCACTGCTCCTCCCGCATGTGTCCGGAGAGGCCCTTGCGAGCGGGGAGAGTCCGTGTAGGCGACACGACTTTCATCTTTGGTCCATATTTGCGGGGTAGGTTCCTTATATTCTTGACTGTTAGCATCCGCCACTGTGCTGCCCCCAGGGTGACCAGTGCCCTGCCTCTTGCTGATGGCAGCTTGATGGTGCTCGTCACCACCATCAGTGTGTCCTGTGACTTTCCCTGTGGCAGGTGCGGTTGGAGAATGTCAGCGGTGCCCCCATTCAAGTCACGGCCGCCGTGTGGTTGCTCAGCCCTCGTGTCTCACTTGGGCAGGTGCCTGTGGCTCGGGTCACCCGGTGAACTCTCCATTCTGGGCCTTGTGGGGCGCGGGGTCCCCACGTTCAGCCTTTGCTGTTGTCGGCACTGCTGCTAGAGTCAGTCTTGACTAAGTGTAAATCCATAGTAGGGGCGCCTGGGTGGCTCAGTTGGTTGAGCAACTGCCTTCGGCTCAGGTCATGATCCTGGAGTCCCGGGATCGAGTCCCGCATCAGGCTCCCTGCTCAGTGGGGAGTCTGCTTCTCCCTCTGACCTTCCTCCCTCTCGTGCTCTCTATCTCTCATTCTCTCTCTCTCAAATAAATAAATAAAATCTTTTAAAAAAAAGTGTAAATCCATAGTAAATATGTGCACGCTGGGAGAGTTGCGTATCGTAGATGCGAGGAAGTGAAAACTGACCAGCAACTGCGCGTGCAGCGTGTGCGTCCCCCGTCAGGGCTGATGCCTGCCAGTCCGGCACCGGGAGCTATCCGGCTTCACTTTGTCTGGCTCAGGTGCGGGACACGGGATCTGCGTGGGGTCACACATCGGTTTCTCTGCTGCCCACGGGGTGGAGCATTGGCATCTGTGGGGTTCCGCCTTCTATGGAAGCGTTTCCAGCCTGTTGTCACCTGTAACCCTCCTGTCCGCTTCCTGATTTCTTCTGTTTTCTGCATGCACTGTGGACGTCTGTGCTGCTTCATTTCTATGTATTGATAGGGTTTGTCCAGGTCAGGGGTATTCATTCCTCTCCGTTGTCCGCGTGGATGGACTCTTCACATTTTCAGTGCACTTGCACTTGCCCGCCCTGCCTGTGTAGATCGCCCTTCCTTTGTTCCGTGAGAAACCTCTTCCATTGCTCAGGCATACACACGCCTGCTGGATCTTCCTCCTTGTGTGTTCTCCTTGTTTCCATGACAGTGAAATCCACAGGGCTCGGTTCTGGTCCATGAACTTGACAAGGGAAATGATTCCTTATTCCCCTGTAGATAAGCGGTCTTCCCTGGCCCTGCGTCCATCGCTGCCCCTGCCCCACGGCACCTGCTTCCCTTCCCGAAATCAGGGGGCCTGTGCCTGCATTCCACTGTTTTCTGACAGGGTATTTGTCCATCCCTCTGTTAATACCTACTGTTCTGATTACGAGGAAGTTTAAAATTAAAATGGTCAGTTATTTTGCCACAAAACTGAGTTTATTCTGCAATAGCAGAGAATTGCAATTCTGGACGTGTAAGGTCACAAAACCACAGGCAATTTGGAGAACAGAGGGGAGGAAGGCTCTCTTACAGAGGAGAGCAGGGGCTGGGGTGGCTATGGAAACACAGAGGTCTTGGTGGAAATTGGGAGTTGGAAGCCCAGGGGCTCCTCTCTGGCCGGGCAGTGATGGGAGGTGGAGGCTGGCTTCCTCCTGCCAGGGCGGTGAAATCCCAGGGAAAGTAGTGTAGAGTTGCAGGGTGCTGGGCTTCCTGCTGGGCCCCCCAGTAAGGACCCGAGGGCACCCCTGCTGGCCCCGCACTCCATCCCAAATGAGCTTTCCTTGGGTGCATTTCTACATTTCCTCCATTTGACCAAAATCTTTCCTTGGAAGCATCTCTGAGTAAGCAGCGGGTTTGCCATACTTAGTGGGTTTGTCCCTCAGCACCAGGAAGGACGTCTTCTGGTTGTCTGTCTTGTGTGGGAGGGAACGTGCATAGCAGTGGAAACCAGTGAAGGCCACACCTGAGAAGCAAGGAAGGACGGGAGGGAGAAACTCTCAGGCGCTTGCCATCTAGCTTGCCATTCATCAGGAGTGTGAGATTGCAGAGCATGTACTTATTATGTGCATCATTTTCACAAATCCATAGGCAATAAATTACAAAACTTTAATATACAATCAGAAGTAACAAGACAATTCCAAATGACAAAATGGATAGAATCCAGGACGCTAGGTGTGCAGGCAGCCAACTGAAATGTTTACTGGCCCCTGTTCCAACCTGGGGGGGGAACGTTCTCGCCATGAAGGCAGACCTGCAGCCGTGTGTGCCTCCTGGAGGTCCCTGCTGCAGGCGAGCGTGAGAGCAGCATCGTGGATCCTGCGGGAGCTCCGGGAGAGAAAGAGGCTGGGGCATTTGGGAAGAGACAGTGCGGGTCAGAACACGGGCTTAGCGGGTGAAGTTTTTGCAGAAGTAGCAGAACTTCAAAGATGTTTTGAAAGGTGTTGTTTTCAACAGAACTGTTGGAACCAAATGTTATCCAGTAAGACAGCCTGTAAGGTTATGTATTGAGAGACAGTGAATTTGGGTAATAAGCCAACATCCGTTAATAGTTCAGGTGAGGGAAAGACTTGTGATTTCAGAGCCTCTAACACTTGAGAAAAGGCAAGAGAACGATGAATTTGTCACGGGATCCTCATGGGCCTGTTCCCGAAAGGCCAGAACCCCAAGAAGAGGTCCCCCTCCCGCGAGGGTGTTGTGCATGCACACAAGGGCCCTGTGTCTCCGTGAAGGAGAGGAGACGCGACCGTGAGGAACGGGAAGCCTGGGGCGCAGGTGTCGTCGGCTGCCGTTCCGGGAAATCGTTACTGTCCCGTCCGCAGGCGGTGTGCAGGGCCGGGCGGGGTGTGCTGTGAGTGTAGATGTGTCCCCTGCAGCCAGGAGCCCCTTTCCTGGAGTGTGGCCACACAAGGGTCAGGGGCCAGATCCTGACAGGGGCCTTCCAGCGAGATTGGAGAGAACCTGGAGGTGACATTTGGGGACGACCTCTCCAGGTGGCTGGGGTCCTGCTGACGTCTTCCTCCCCTGGGCGGGCACCGTGAACATTGCTGTCCCAGAGCATGGTGGTTTTGAATAGAAGCCATCAGTCTTTCTCAGTATTGAAGTCCATCTCGTTTTGTCAGCCGAAGGTCAAAGGCGGCCAGGGCCAGTGCCTGGGACGTCCTGGGAGAGCTCCGTGGTGGGAGTGTAGGAGCTCCGGGGGGAGGCCATGAGGTTTAGG